AAAAATTTTAAAATACAAGATGGAAGAGATCCTACATGTATGGCAAAAAAAAAAAATAGAGAACCACATCTAAGGATCTGACAAGAAACTTATTTGCAAACAAAGACTAATAATAAATTTATTCAAGAAAAAAACAAGTCTATATTGCTATTTTAACAACACTCTATTTTGTATCGGTCCTTGTCTATGAACAAGTTTCTTACTAAATCCTTGAATGTAATTCTCCCACACAAAAAAAACAGATAGATCACACATGTATGTATGATTATGTATATATGTCATAAATTGATGCATAAAAATGGACAATAGTTAATATATTTGAATTTTAAATAAGTATTTTAAGAGTAATATAGAGATATTAATAACAAAAACTTAATTAGTTTTTGAGTTATTTAGGAACATTTTAGAGAGGAAAATAAATAAGCGTAAATAAGTAAAGGGTTAATGAGCAAAATGGACTCTGAAGTATTGCCTTAAAAACACCATGGACCTTGAACTCTTAAAATGTGCAAAATGAACCCTAAACTTTTAAATTCGTAATAAATTAAACATTATTGTTATCTTTTTATTAATGTCGTTACTGTTCACCATGGGCCCTACTTGAATGTAGATGTGGTAGTCCCTTGCTGAGTGTCATTTGTTAATTAGTACTACAGACCCTAAGCTATTAGGTGAATAGTATTCTAGATCCTGAATTTTAAAATTTCAAACAAATTACTCCCATTGTCTATATATAGAACATTGACTATGTAGACAAAATTAGCCTCAACATGGTCCATCATGGTGAATGCATCATTGGTCATGGCGAACGACCTATAATTTTATGAAATGATATTTTTGCCCCTTTTTTGCAATATTTTCCAAACAATTGATATTTTATGCTTCCATATACTCTATAACTCTAATTTAATCTTATTTTAAATAATGCTTATTTATTTAATGGTGAAAAATTATTTGAAAAGAAGTTTAAATATCACAAGATTTTATTGGATGCTAGAGTCGATAATTTCATCAATGAATTTAAAACCTAAATTAACTGATTAATTAAAATCCTCTAATATTTAAAATTCTTTTCTAATGGGATCCCAAGTTTTCACTATTAAATAAAAAATATTATTCAAAATAAGACTAAATCAAAGTTATAAAGTATACGAAAGAATGAGATACTAATCGTTTGAAAAAATATTACAAAAAATAGGGCAAAAATGTCATTTTATAAAATTATGGATCGTTTGCCACAACGAACGATGCATTCACCATGGCAAACTACACTAAGGCTAATTTAATTCACATAATAGTCAACATTTTATACATAAATAGTGGAGATACTTTGCTCGAAATTTTAAAGTTTAGGGTTCAAAATGCTATTCACGTAATAATTTAGGATCTGTGATACTAATTAACAAATGATACATTAGCAAGGGATTGCCACATCAGTATTTGATTGGGGCCATTATGAACAGTGGTGGTAAACATTAATGGTGTTAATAAAAAGATAATGATAAGGTTTAATTTGCTACAGATTTAAAAGTTTATGGTCCATTTTAAGAGTTCAGGGTTTAGGGTGCTTTTCATACAATACTTTAAAATTCATTTTGCTCATTAACCCATAAGTAAATTATCCCCTTAACTTTAGGTCTAGTAACATCATAAATCATAAACTCATTTATTGTACAAGAACCCCAAAAATTATAGAAAAGGACCAAAAAAATGTGATAATTTTTTATAATTTTTGAGAACTTTTTCTATCATTTTCTAATTAACTAATGGTTGTAGTAATGATTTCAAAACCGAATCAGACCAGACGATCGAGCCAGTCCAATTGTCAACTAGTCCAAATTTTGGTTGGTCAACATGTGAAAATCATTTTGGAGGTTGAGCCGAGTTGGGCTATTTCGAACTGGGAACCGAAAGAACCAGATCCAGTTTTCAAGAATCGGACTGTTTAAAAAAATTTCTTTTTATTTTTTTATTGAATTTTTTTTAGTAAATGACCAATTTTTTTAATCATTTGATGTTATATTGTATTATGTGACTTATTAAGTTTTGATAAACTTAAAATATTTGGTTCTATTTTTAAGTTAAGTAACAATTTTATATTTATTTCTTATATTTAGATTATTATATACATATATAATTTTGTTAATTTAATTATTATGTCACCGGTTTGATTCCAACCCGGGTGAACCATGCGAACCATAAATCACTGACCTTTTCGGTTCAATATGCAATTCAATTTTGAAAACATTAGGTTATAATTAACTTTTGTTAACAATAGGAGCTTAATTATATTGTTTTCAAAAATTGAGGGAGCAATTTGCATAATAAAAAAGTTTGGAAATTATAGTGCTATTAAACCTAAAGTTTAGAGATAATTTGTTCATTTATCCAATAAATAATAAAAGTTTTGAAGTATGTAATGCGGGAACAGAGTTGGATATTTATTTAGTGATTTTTTTACCAAAATAATTTATTTGTTCTGTTTTATACTATATCTATCTGAAATTATTTTTTTAATTTTCATCCCTTTTAGTAAAATAATTAATTTTTTAACTTTTTTATTTAATAATGATTGTGAATATGTGATGTTTTTAGCTACTTTAATTAATTAAATATTTTTAATGTTAAAAATTGTTTTAAATATGTGAATAGTATTTTTTTCATTTTTAAAAAAATGAACATAAAATTTCTATTTTCTAGCCAAACAACGTAAAATTGTTATTAACTGCAAGCCGATTTTTCCAACACAGAAGATTATAAGATTAATTTATTTTTGGTTTTTTTTGTACTTCCATATATATAGTGGCAAAAAAAAAAAAAGTACTTCTATTAACTCACGCGAGCGTGCGCGTGTGTGTGTATTCAATTAATTTTGAAAGAAAATTATTATTTGTCTCTGGTCTGGTTCTAAATATAAGACTATAACAGCTAAATATCTAATTCATATCAATTAAAAGAATTAATAAATAAGTTAGTTATTTGTAATTTATAAGTCATGATTTTCCTAAAATATATACCAAGGTACATACAATCAAACTAGTTATAAAATTGATCCAATTATTGGTTCAAAGCCCAATGGACAAAATCTTAATCAAACTATAGTCAGGTTAATCATAAATAAAACATTTTATTGAACAAGTAAAAGCATATATTGGCTAGACAATTTACTGGTTCAAATAGCCAAGGTTGACTTAGTTTTCAACATTATTCATCATACAATCAAATTATAAGAATAATGTTGGGAAAAATAATAAATATGAAAGAAAAAATATATTAAGGTCTTACATATATATTTAGGACCAAAGCAAACCTCCTATCTACTAACTAGTTTCTACATTTAATACTACATGGACATTGTGCTTTCTGTCACAAGCCATGACAAATAACGTAAAGTGAGTAGAGTATTGTTTCAATGGAAGTTTGTTAAATATATATATATATATATATATAATTAAGCAAAAGATTAAGTAAATTCAATTAAGTTGAGTAAAAAACAATTAGATAAAGTTTGATTTTGAAAATTATATTAAAACTAGTAACTAAAGAAAAGCAAATGATTTTCAAACTTCAAATACAAACTAAGACCTAGGATTGTTTATCCTCTTTGTATTTGATAACATTAAAATTACTTCTTCTCATAAATATGTTTAATGAAAATAAATGCTCTCTCAAAACATAGACAAGTATTTAGTTTAATTAATTATCCAATTTCTTATTTCAATTAATAAAACCAATTTTAAGTTCCAACTCTAATGTAACTATGCAAGGTTTTAGCAAATATATATCTATCTTACTGACAATTAAACCATCCATTGATTATTATATAAATTTTAAGTTCTTGCACTATTTTATTCAAGTTTTATACTCAAGCTAGGCGTTTCAAGCATCATTCAAGCGAGCAAATCAATTAAATGATGGCCAAATACTTAAAAGTATTAAGACAAGAATGAAATAAACATTTATATATTATTAAACACTAAAAGAAAGGAAAAAAATAATATTAATCCATACAAGAGTTTCAAATAATCCTAAGACAAAGTATTTAGCTACTTATAGTCATCCACAAATACATAAAATATTCAGACCCATATCAAATTATAAGAGAGGAAAAGGAAAAGGTGCAGAAAAAAAAATGAGCTACAAATTCTTTAAAACTTTATTCTCTTGATCCCAACTCCTTCAAATCCCAAACTCTAACACAATCAAATTCTAAATGGGTCTCAAAGTCTTTCGAATGCCTTTTATTAGGTTGAGCAAGCTTCATATATGAATCTTAGCTACTCATTTTCAGCTAAACAAAACAGAACATTTTGCTAACGATCGTGAAAGTAGCAAACAAAGTGAACTTTTGTGATGACTTTGGCCAATTTTTCATACTTCTCTCGCTTAACAAAACTAATCATTTTTATACTTAATTTCTTTATCTAAAATCCTTCCAAAAGTATCACCAAGGGCCAAGAAATGTTTTCCATCAAACCTTAAGCCATAATAACATAAATTAAACTAAAAAAATAACAAAATAAAACTAAGTGTACAAAGCCAAAGCAAGATACACATATTTTTAATTTGGGCAATTAAAAATATATATAATTGTATCAAAATATATTAATATCTAAGGAAAATACGTTGAAATGATATAAATTTTCCGAGGTTAACGATGGAGTACTCTTTATTAATGTTATTTTTTAAAAAAAAATAACTTTGTCCCCGATTTATGAGTTATTAATTTTTTAAACCTTGTGAGGCTTTGACTTTGGTGGCTAGCTTAAAGAGACCGTTTATATATGAGATCTCAATTTCAAAGTCTTCCATAGACTTGTGGTTTACCTAATGCCACAAGAAATCAACTAACCCGTGGTTTAATTGGCCCATCTAAAAATATCAATGGATGATATTTAGTAAATACTTGTCCAGTCGCTCGCCATTTCTTACAAGAATTTAATTTGGTGTCTTATATATGTGAGTGAAGTAGTGGGGTGGTCGGGTATTGGACAGAGCCTACAATTGATAATAATGTTAGCAAAAAAGGTGGTTATTTGGTCTGTCATAATTCGCAAATGCTTCTTGTTTTGTGCAGCTTTGGACACCATAACCATTAACAAACCCCTCAGAGATGGTGATCAGCTTCTGATTTCTAAAGAAAAAAAGTTTGCTCTTGGTTTCTTCACTCCAGGCAAATCCAGCAATCGCTATGTTGGAATTTGGTACTACAATTTGATAGAGCAAACTGTCGTTTGGGTTGCAAACAGAGACGATCCCATGAATAACACCTCAGGAATTCTCTCCATCAGCTCAGACGGAAACCTAATTCTCCATCACAACAACTCCGACATGCCCATCTGGTCTACGAATGTTTCTGTCACTGTTCCAAATGCTAAAGTTATGGCTCAACTCACAGATTTAGGTAATCTTGTTTTGATCCAAAATAATTCCAAAGCTGTTATCTGGCAGAGCTTTGATCATCCCACGGATACCTTACTCCCGTATGCCAAATTGGGTGCGAACAAAAGAACTGGTCAGAGCTGGTTCTTGCGATCTTGGAAGACGGAGGAGGATCCTGGAACAGGAAGCTTCTCAGTTAGGTTCAACACTAGTGGGAAAGCTCAGTTGTTCATGTACTATAAGGACACTCCAGTGTGGCGTGGTGGATCCTTCAATGGTGAAGTATTCGTTGGTATCCCGTTTATTAAACGAGCAAAGGTGAATGCTTCTAACATGACTGTCACGGACAATGATAATGAAATTAGCTACGTATATAACGCCTTTGACAAGACCCTTATTGTAAGGATGGTAGCTCTTCCGGCTGGACTCTTTCAATCTTTGACCTGGGATTCTAATAAGAAACGATGGAGGCGATACTGGTCTGCTCCAGAAGGTGATTGTGATAACTATGGATCCTGTGGCACCAATACCGACTGTGACCCTCTTGACTATGCAAAGTTCAAATGTTCTTGCCTACCTGGGTTTGAACCCAAAAATGCATCACGTTGGTATCAACATGCTGATGCAACAGAGGGTTGTATGAGGAAGAAAGGACCATCCTTATGTGGAAATGGAGAAGGTTTTGTTAGAGTTGAAAGTGTGAAGATTCCTGATACATCTGTAGTTAATGCTAATATGGAGATGGGTTTGGAAGAATGTGAAAAAGAGTGCTTGAGAAACTGTTCTTGTAGTGCCTATGCAACTGCTGATGTGAGAAATGGTGGAAGCGGATGCTTGACATGGTATGGGACTTTGATGGACACACAGATATTAAGTGAGGAAGGGCATGATTTATTTGTTCGCGTTGATGCTGTTGAGCTTGGTAATTGCAATCTTACTTCTTTCTTTTCTTCTTCAACTAATATTTTCCTTTGCGTTTCATCTACTTTGTCTTTAAGACATCTTTATTTCTTCCTACTTTTCTCAGCCAAATATGCTAAGAAACCAAAACGACCACATGTTAAGTTTGGGAAAGTGGGAATAGCAACGACCAGCGTTGGTTTGATTATTTCTCTTCTGACTGCCTTAACCGTGTATTGCATTTGGAAGAGAAAAAGAGGAGGTACCGATTTCTTTTGGTTTCTCACTGCTTTACACAGTCTATTTGTACTTTGGACGTTCTTTCACCTAATATCAATGACTTTAACTACAACCAGACGTCATTATTTTTCCAATTTATTTCGTTTTGGCTATAAGCAGCATGTGTGTGTGTGTGTGTGTGTGTGTGTGTGTGTGTGTGTGTGTGTGTTTCTCCAACAATTTTTCTTTGTCATGTGTTTCTCCAACAATTTTTCTTTGTCATGCTTTATTCGGGTCGTCTTCATTGTTTTTTCCCTCTGCCTTCACCAATGTTTTCCTTCGTCTTCTTTAAAAACAAAAAGATACATGGAGAAGATAAATATGATAACTGTCTAAAATATAACAAGGAAAAATGACAATTAGAGACCCATAAGAATGTTAATTATAATCACAGACTTTAAATTGTTGAAATCTTAATAATAGATCAGGATCTTTATACAATTATACTTGCAATTAAAAAAATATGAATAATCAGTTGGGAAATCAATGAAATGCATTTAGGATTATTGGCAACATTATTTGAAAATTTATGAGAGTTGGTTGTGAATTTTAATTTTTTATTGTCAATATATAGATAAAGCACTTAAAAAATTAATAAAATACACTTGGATCATTTGTGATTTTCTTTTTGTCAATATATAAACAAATCGCTTGAAAAATTTATAAAATATAATTTCAAATTATTTATAACATCAATTGAAAATTAACAAGTCAGTTATAAATCGTAAGTCAATTAATTGTGTTTTTTTTCTGTCAATATATATATATATATATTGCTTGGAAAATTAATAAAAGATATTTAAGATTTTTTGTAGTGTTAGTTGAAAATTTACAAAAATCAATTATAAATCTCAAACCAATCAACAAAAGATACTTTACTAAAAGTAAAAACCATAGTTTGTTATATGAATTTCAATAATTCAGGTTTATAATTATAATTAGTATTCTTATGAGGTTTTACATTGTCATTGTCCCATATGACAAATTAAATGCATGGGAGATGTGATGTATGTTCACAAGTCATGAAAAGTGGCCAGCGATGGAAAACAACGAAGGAGATATACTGTTCAAAGTTAAATCGAATTTGTTAGTGATATATGGTAAGTGAAATGTTATGTGCTCGATAATTGATTAGCTAAAATAGCAAACATGTAAGAGAAGCGTGGTCTTAAATTATCTTTTTTTTTATTTTATCTTAATATTACTTACTAGAATTTTCTGACAGTTGCTTCATCTTTTATATTTGTTTATTCCAGATGACATAACCGAACTTGAGTTAAAATTAGATTCCCCAACAGATCAAGAGGACCATGATAATAACAGGGCACAATCAGGCTTACCTTTTTTCAGCATCAAAAACATAACGACTGCAACAAACAATTTCTCCAATGAGAATCAATTAGGGAGAGGTGGATTTGGTTCCGTATACAAGGTAGGTGAAATGTTTGAGAATCTCCTTGCTATGCAACCAGAGTGAAAGCATATATAATGTGTGTGTACTTTCACATACACTTTCTTCATCATAATTTATAAGATATTTTTAGACAAAATCACACATATTATTAGGTTGTCTTAAAAACTTATTGAATATACTTTACAACCCTTCATTTAATACTCTCATTTATGAAAGAATATAGTGGGAAGGGTAATATTGCAAAACATGATTAATAAAATTTTATTTTTATCAAAGTATCTTATATTTTAATATGTTGAATCTACCTAAAAATGTTTTTAAAATTGGGATGGAGGTAGTGTGTGTTTGTGTGTGTGTGTGTTAAAGCTAAGTATAACAATTGTGCTTTGATATTTTTAGGGCTTATTAACTGGTGGACAAGTGGTAGCAGTGAAGAGACTATCTCATTGTTCTGGACAAGGGACTCGCGAGTTCATGAATGAAATTAAACTAATTGCAAAACTGCAACATAGAAATCTTGTGAAGTTGCTTGGGTATTGCATTCACGAGAAAGAAAGGATGTTGATCTATGAGTACCTTCCCAACAAAAGCTTGGACTTTTTTATCTTTGGTATGTGTTATATGTCCTCCTCTCTTTTTAAAACTCATATTGCTTTCAAATATCACACACACTATGAGTTTGCATCTATACATCACTCAATTAGAGAAGTGGAAAATTTTGTATAGGAAATTTGCCCTGAATTTCAAGTATGCATATACGATTTTCCACATATTATTGTCAAATTAAGCAAAATATTAAAATGGCTAAACTTCATGTTCAACATGCATGAATCATAACATTGATATGATTACAATAAGAATGAAGCTACTTTTTAAGATTTTATACCTAACTTTTTTTAAGAGTATAATTACAATGTGATTCTGGGAATGAAGATATGATAAGATGTGTTTATTAGTACTATATTAGTTTCCCATCGTTTTCAATATTGACAAGGAATATTCATGGTTCACTATAGATAGGATTCAAAGAATGTCATTAGATTGGGATACACGCTTTCATATCATATTTGGAATTGCTCGAGGTCTTCTTTATCTTCATCAAGATTCAAGGTTAAAAATAATCCATCGAGATCTTAAAGCTAGCAATGTCCTATTAGATGCTACAATGAATCCTAAAATCTCAGATTTTGGCATGGCAAGAATATTTGGAGAGGATCAAACCCAAGCAAAAACAAGACGAATTGCGGGGACATAGTAAGGACACATTTTTTTGCCTATTTTCTAAAATAAATTGATTGAGTTCTACAACAATGTTGTCTTATAACTTTTTTTATTGCAGTGGTTATATGTCTCCAGAATATGCAATGGGAGGACAATATTCAACAAAATCTGATGTTTTTAGTTTTGGTATTCTAATGTTAGAGATTATTAGCGGCAAGAGAAATACAGATCATGATGAAGCAAGAGCATTCCTAAATTTGATTGGACATGTAAGACTAAAGAAATCTACAAACAGCTATATCTAGCTAGCTTGTATCTTTGTAGTTTATTGCTATGTCTTAAACTTCAAGGCATGGCTTCTAAAGCTAGCATGCATCCCAAAAGAGGGGGAAAAAAAAAAGGAATCTATAAATATGAAATTTAAACACACACACACACACACATTCCATTTCCTCTCATTTTTAACTTTATAGTCTTAGAAATCCTTGATAACATCATTTTAAAGAACAATCATATATAATATGATTTTTGCATTAATTGGTAGGTATGGGAGCTGTGGAGGGAAGGAAAACCCTTGGAAATAATGGACTCAACGCTTGGTGAATCATATCCTGTTGACGTGGCCTTAAGATGTATACAGATTGGGCTCTTGTGTGTGCAAGAAATTGCCTTCCATAGGCCATCCATGTTGGAAGTTATTTTCATGCTTGGCAATGAAGTAAGCCTTCCATTACCTCAAAAGCCTGCATTCCTATTGAATTATTTTGTACAGCCTTCAGAGTCTTCAACATTTGGAAAACCTTCAATGAACAACATCACTACTACTGCAATTAGTGGTCGATAAATACGATAAGTGAGCTTGAGTGAAATGTATAATATTGTCATCAATATGTCTTCTTAGGATCTGCTTTATCCAACTTGATTGTATGTATTAATACATGTACTTGTGATGTTACTTGTGCACCTAAAAAATGTGGCTATATCTAACTCACTATATAAAATATATATGACCCATTTCTGGACTTATGAGCTCTTACATTTATTGTCCCCGGCTGCATGATTCCTGTGGGGTGGTGAATGTATTGGCATATTTTATTTGGATATTGACACTCATGTCCCAAAAAAGTGAATTTATGATTAGGTTGTCGACAAAATTTAAAAAAAAAAAACAGTTATAAATATTAATTTAGACAACTATAAATAGGAGTCTCAATTACATTTAGAATTTCAATGTCTTAATAATTGGAATACCCTTACACATATTGGGTACTTGGCCACCTGCAGGGTCTATCTTCGATGCAAAGCACTTGGCGCTCATCAAGTGCTACGCACTGTTTCTAGATTCAAATCAATTAGGAGGTCCCAGATTTTTTTTAATTTATATGTATGTTTTCATTTTATATTTATTAAAATAAAAATTTATAAAAATTTTTAATAAATAGGTTTATCATCAATCTTGGATAATACAAATTTAATTTGAGTGGTCCATTTTATAATATTAATGTTTTATAATTTTTATAAATTAATTATCTAGATGTATACTAAATAATTTAGATTTAATATTAAATTCTTTTATAATTTTTATTTGATAAATAAACTACTAAAAAAAAAGATAATCTCCTAATGTGCACTTTATAAAATATTAGAAGTTAGAAATTTTAAATATAGCCTATCCAAAGTAAATTTGGATAATCAACTTATAAAAATTATCAAAATTTTTAATATTAAATTAGACTATCTAAATTAAATCTAACCTAATTGATGATGAATATATGTATATAACTTTTTATTTTAATAAATATAACATCAAAATTAAAAATTTTAAATTTTAAATTTAAACCGTTCAAATTAAAATATAAATAGTTTAGATTTCATCATTCTAATGACTACCCAGGTTGAATGCGTCACCTTTATCTCACAGAGGCCTTTCGTACTCACAATCCTAAACTAGCCCTTGAGTTAGACTATTTCTGAAGCAAAAGGCCACATTGAAATTGTGATGGGGCTTTTGGTAACTCGTGAGATCAGGCACGCTTGTAACAGAGCTTGTTAAAGCCTGAGTCTTTGAGGATTCTTCCCAAATCTGTTTTCCATTTAGGTGCTGTAACATACAACAGTTTGGATCAATTCTCCACTAATTAGCTATCATGTCGAAACAAGTTGAGGTACTTTTACTTAATTATTCATTTTTTTATTGTCATGTTATTACTTGTGTAAATATTAGCTAGCTAGAGTTTGAGAAAGAGTTCACTTCTCCATTTATCTTAATTGAAATTTTTTATTTTTCCAATCAATTTCTAAAATGCTGTTACTAACCTAATAATAAATATATTTTCCCCAAAGTTCAGATCTTGATAATTGAATGCTATCTTAAACCAAGTAATGTTAAGAATTGAAATTTGTACATGTCTTTTTTTTTTTTTTTGGGTTCCCGTTATAACTGTCAATCTCTGGTTTCATACAAGATCTATGTAGTGAGAATGGGAAGTCACATGACTAATTCAGCCCAAGTTAGATAGTCTTAAACCAAAGTAGTTGACTTAGAATTTGAATGGAGTTGGGCCTGACACTGTATTCTAAGTACACAGCTCAAATGAGAACCAAACCATGAGACCATACAGACAGGCCCAAGGTAGACTCATCAATCCAAATCTTAATTTTCAATATTGTTAAAGTAAGTATTTGAAACAACAGGTGAGTCGAGCAATTTTTTTTTTTTTTTGGTTTCAAGTAAATTGTTATTTTTTTGGGTAAATTCATGCATTTCCTAATATTTTCTTTGGATGGAGAAAAAACATGATAGGAAAAAAAAGTAAAAAGGAAAGCAGGAGAGGATTTAACTTTTTCTCCATATGGATGATAGAAGAAAAGTGGGAGGAAGAAAAAAAAACTAGAGAGAAAATAGAATGCAAGACCTATGGTAACCAAATTTTCTCCCCGCATGTGAAAAGATTTTGAAAAAAAAAAAAACTTAAGATTCCAAATTTCCACACCCTACTCTCACCTCTCCCTCATGTCCATCCAGAAACGAATCTAATCCCTGCTGATTGTTTTTAAAAAAAAGGTTTGTACAATTTTGTTTGAGAAAGAAATGTCAAAATCAATGTTAGCCCCCAAAATTGATGTCAAAATAAATACCCACTTTATTTAAAAATATAAAACATTTTTAATTGAATTTTATTTTTTAATAAAATAGTTAATCATTTATTTTTAAACTAACTTTATTTTTTCTTATTTATCTCCATTAAATACTCTATAATAAATATAAAGTCATTATTAATAGGGATATTTAAAAAAAAGATAATGATTATACTTTAAAAGATTAAAATTATTTTATATTTTTTAATATCTAACTCTTTAAAAAAAATACTTTATGTTTTTTTTAATAAAAGGAGTATTATGATTTATGAATTTGTCCCTGCGTTCATCCCCAATCTGCCACTACTTTACGTTCATGCTTGTGTTATTGTCATCCGCAAACAAAATCATTTTCCTTTTTTATAATATTTCATAATCATATTTTTAAAAAGTCACTTTTGTTTGTTTTATAGAAAAATAATGTATGAATTATTTGGTTTTAAAATACAATAACAGGAAAATATATTTTTTTTTATAATATCGTGTATTTTGACATATAAGAATATTATAATTATTATGATATTTGATCATATTTTCTCCCGTCTATCCAAGCAAAAAATAATAATAATATTTTATTTAAAATTTTTTCTCATCTTTATTTTCAGGCACATACCCATTTTCAGGCACACGTGTTCCCAGGACGAGCTTTAGTGCCATTGTAGGACGCTGGCGACGTGCAGTAAATATTTATTTAACACTTTGTCAGTGGCTTTTGAGGGTCATTTTTATAATGTGGGACAACTATCATCATGCTTTATGGCTGTGTTGTCCATTTATTCACCCCTGCCGTGCTGCTCCTATATTGAAATATACCAACCAGATCCCATGAACTTAGACACCAAAGGAAGATTTATCAATTATTTATTTTTAACACTCCCCTTAATTTGAAATTTCTTAACAATTCCAAGGCATGATCATAGGTGCCTTTTAATTACTAAAAATGAATGAAATAAATTAAATTAAAAAAATAAAGGTAAAAATAAAATAATCGAAAGGCATGATAAATCACATTCAAGAGGCATATGTATAATTTAGTTCATGGGATTGAAAATTTTAATTCATGAGATTTTTTGAGAATATAATAATTCTTATTTTTATAGTATATATTAATAAATTTCATCATGCGTGTATCATGAAAAGAAAGGATGATTTAGTTTATTTTTGTATTAATTTTTTCAATTTATTTCTAACAATGAAACAAGCCCTTAATCTTTCAAAACCTTAGTGGCTTGGTAGAATTATCTGTAATTTCATTTGAGCCTGAGACTTCACACACTTGAGCTCCACTAAGTTGTTTGTAATGCACACTTTGATAAAATGAAATCTTGTGTTTTTATGCTTGCTTTCTTTTCATGATACACTGGATTCTTTTGCTACTGCCAATATAGACTTATCAATCCAAGTCTTAATTTTTTATCTTGGTTAGAGGAAGTTATAAGTATGTGAGTGAAGTAAATTTTTTATGTTTTACTTTTTTTATAACAAGTAAATTATTATTTAATACTCCTTCTATTTTAAATTATAAAATAACTTGAGACGATATTATATATATCAATAAAGTTTAATAATAATATTTTATAAATTTAATTATTTTTTAAAAATAAAAATATAAATTTTTAAAAATATTCTTACACTTTAATTATTATACTATAATATTATTTTAATTTTTTATTTAATTTTTAAAAATATTTTATATTTTTAAATAAAAGGAGCACTTGTAAATGAAATTTTAGGTGTACATGTAACTTTCCGCACATCTGGAAACATCTGAAAAAGCACAATTCAGACTGTTTAGAAAATGTACGTAAGCGTGGCTCACAAAGGACCACGAAAATATTAAAATAGCCAAAAAGAGTAACCTAACATACGGACTAAAGAAAAGTCAAGTCGTTGTCTTTGTCTGGGACGGTGTGGCCTGACTAGATCCAACCCTACATATTTCTTAGCGTTCATACTTTCGGCAAACTTGTTTAAATTCAATTAATTCATTTATTTTTGCAATGGTGAAGTTTTGGAGTAATAGTGGCCAAATATAAGAGGTAGAGAAAGGTGAAAAATCCTTTTAAAAGCGGAAAAACTGTTTTTAAAACTTTGTTTGGTACTTTTTATTAATAGACGTGCCAAAAACGTTAAACCTCACTTTCTTGTAAAAAAACTTCGATTTTATCAAAAGATTGTTGTAAGCATCTTGAATTGAGATCCTGTGTCACACACACACACACACATATATTTTTAAGATGTAAGTACTTGAGAATAATGAATTATATACAATGCAGGATTTTGTATAGTCTAGTGAATGATTAATCACATGAAAAATTCTCAAATAAATTTGGTATATCATATCATGATCCATCCAATAAAAAAATAATGTTTAAATGACATTAAATATAAATTAATTTTAACATTAATGATATTATAAAAAGAAAATATGAGAAATTAAATAAACATCAATGATAAAGAATAAAGTTATTAAAAATAATAACACATAAAATTATATTTAATTAAGCTATTGTAATTTTATTGAATAAATTATAAATGATACAGTGTATCAACTCTATTTAAGAATTTCTTTTATTACAATTACAATAGATGAAAATTAAAAAGCAAATAATGAATTACTCCCTTCGGTCTTATTTATGAGTAACATTTTAAAAAGTTTATTTGGTCCCATTTATAAATTATGGTATGTCTTTTTAAGTAATATTTAAAAGGTATTTTTAAAATTATCCTTTATAAAAAAATAATATGACATTATTTTTTAAATTTATTATATGAAGGTATATTTAGAATTCTACACATTTTTATTTTTTATATTAACATTAATAAAATTGATAGAAATAATTTATAAAAAAATTTAGAGGAGTATTGTGCAGGATTCTTGAATTG